GAGTATGTTTGCTACTGTTCCTGGTTACTTTACTGAAACGTCGTTCCTGCCTTCGTTGTTGTTTTATATTAAAAATTACGAATGACTGATAAACAAAAAAGGGGGAAGAGGGCAAAATGCATGAAGCAGTCTTCTATCAAATAACTAAAAACTGAAAGTTGACTTTTTTTTTTTTTTTAAATCTCAGGCAGACCTTTTTCCATTTGTATAATTACTTACCAATAAAAAGGTTTTTTTTTTTTAGTTTACATAATTTCTGTAGGTGAGTCTAAGTTTTACGTTAATTTAATGGGTTTTTGTGTGTGTGGGTGTATTTATTCTGTAAGGTGCAGATGATATTATTTTTCGTGCAGTTAAGTAAGACGTAGATTTTATCTTGAAATCTGAACAATATTTTCTTTGTGGACTTTCTTTTCCTGTAATAAATGTTTCAAACATGCAGTACAATACATAAGAAACATTTATAAAGTACTGGCCTCTACTTTATAAAGTTTACAAAACATGAACAAAAGCGGATTTTGGTATAAATAGGGTCTTTTTAATTATAAGGGCGGGGTAGAAACTGAATATTTATAGAACTCTGGCCTTCCCCCTGTCTAATGCACACACATTTCTTTAAAGATTTGATCTTGTATGGTGACAGATTCTATACACCGCAGTCTGAATATCATCACTAGACAACTCTTTAACAATGTAACCGCCAATAGACAATGCAAACAGAAAAAAAGAACTAAACAAAAGAAATAAGTTCATGAACATTACCTTTTCAAAGGCATAAATCTGTTCATCAGCACAGGCCGTCATCTGAATACAGCCCCAGAACCACTGATGACAAAATTGTAACAAACACTTTATGCCAGATAAAATACATGGTAAGGCAAGCCTGATAACTTCCAACAATGCACAATATAGAAATATTACCAATAATTCACAATTTTTGTTTACTTCTCTCTGATTCTTTAGCCACATCAAGATGATTATGGTTCTACAATAGTAGGGCTGCACTGAATAGTGATTTTCACTGTTTGGCCGAATATGAATAGTTGGACCAACTATTCGGCCGAATACGAATACGAATAGTGAATCATCATCATCAGGTGCTTTGCCCACTGGCATGGGCGGTTATGCCTCGCCACAATCTGCGATCTCCTGCAGCATGTATTAGTTCGTGTGCTGACACACCTCCATGCCATGCAACAAGACTGTCAAGAATCTTCTCTCGTTGTCTTCCTCTATTCCTCCTTCCACATATCTTTCCAGTGGTCACCACATGTTCCATTTTTCCTCATTTTATAACATGGCCGAAAATTGATAACTGTGTCCTTCTGATGTCTGTGATAAGTTGTCTTCGGACTGCCGCCTCTCTCAAAACCTCTTGGTTGCTTATTTTTTTGGCTGACCAAGGTATTTTAAGTATTGTTCTGTAAAACATCTATGGGGCCTCAAGAAATTGGCCTGCCTACCGATTGTCCAGGAATTTCTGACCCTTGATTTTCAAGTAGGCGTCTGTGGCTTAGGCATATTCACAGTCATATGTTAAAACTGGATGTATGTAGCAAGCAATAATTCTTTTTCTAACCTTCAATAACAAAGACATATTGCATAAGATGTTCTTCATTTTATAAAATGCAGTTTTTGTTTGTCCAGTTCTGTTTCTTATTTCGGTAATGCATCTTCCATCTGATGTTATCCATGTGTCCAGATACTTAAATTTCTGTACTTGACCTAAAATAAAACCATTGACTTTTATTACACATTAAGGAATAATTATTTTCTTTGACACCACCATTACTTCTGTCTTCCCACTATTCAAACTGAGGCCCATTCTTCCACTTTTGAATAGTGTATAAAAAACATCCATAATTCCCCGTGTCGGTTCCGGGGCCCCATGGTCGGGAAAACAAGAATAGACCCACTGCCTCCCCAAAAGCATGTCGTAAAAGTCGACTAATTGGAGAACTTCCTTTGAAGTCGGAGTGCATCTGCCTGAGAGGCAAGGAACCAACAGTCTGCATTCAAATGAATCAGATCTGTAAAACTGATGCACACGCAACACTCAGGTTCTGGAGAAGGACTGCAGTTCAGAAGTGGACGAACAACCAGGACTTTCTGCCAGAGTGTACAGCTGGTGAACGCGAAGAAGACATCCATAATGTCAAATCTATGCGTATATTTTACTTCACAAAATGTAGTCTTAATCCATGAAACGGCATTAGCTTTCAAAAATAAAATAACCTTTGTTCCATGTTAGCATTCAGGCAGCTTCTTGTCTCACTGAAGACAGACGTTCACTTGGTGGTGCACAAAGATAACGCTTGACAGTATAAACCAAGGTGGGAAATCTTGATATGTTTATTTTCCACCAGTATAGAAACAGGTGTAAGGTAACCACTATTCGTATTCGGCCAGACCGCAACTATTCGGCCGAATACCGAATAGTTATTAGGTCCACTATTCAGCCCCGGCGCAAATACGAAGCGAATATTCGGTACAGCCCTAACAATTAGCGCTGATTTTTGCCCAATACACTGAGGTGTTTGTAGTTTACACACTGAGTTATGAGTTGGGTTACAGTTTATACACTGAGTTATGAGTTGGGTTATCTTCACAACATTTTTGATAGAGCCTCAGATTCCCCTTTCAACATCAGTGTCCTGCGATCAATAGTGCCAGTCCTATGCTGGTTCACAAGTTTAACCAGGCATACAGGTGTGCCATGAAGAACTTTAAATGTGGCAGGTTGAGTCTTAAATATGTTCGCACACTATATATACTGGAATGGAACTGTTCCTCTGTTCATCAAAGGTGACATATTCTCAAAAAGCTCCTGCCCAGCAATGACATCGCCGTCTTGTAGTAAACGTGCCTGTGCAACCAGACAGTTAGAGCTGTCTCGCTGTCTTGTAGTAAACGTGCCTGTGCAACCAGACAGTTAGAGCTGTCTCGCTGTCTTGTAGTAAACGTGCCTGTGCAACCAGACAGTTAGAGCTGTCTCGCTGTCTTGTAGTAAACATGCCTGTGCAACCAGACAGTTAGAGCTGTCTCGCTGTCTTGTAGTAAACGTGCCTGTGCAACCAGACAGTTAGAGCTGTCTCGCTGTCTTGTAGTAAGCATGCCTGTGCAACCAGACAGTTAGAGCTGTCTCGCTGTCTTGTAGTAAACGTGCCTGTGCAACCAGACAGTTAGAGCTGTCTCGCTGTCTTGTAGTAAACGTGCCTGTGCAACCAGCCAGTTAGAGCTGTCTCGCTGTCTTGTAGTAAACATGCCTGTGCAACCAGACAGTTAGAGCTGTCTCGCTGTCTTGTAGTAAACATGCCTGTGCAACCAGACAGTTAGAGCTGTCTCGCTGTCTTGTAGTAAATGTGCCTGTGCAACCAGACAGTTAGAGCTGTCTCGCTGTCTTGTAGTAAACGTGCCTGTGCAACCAGACAGTTAGAGCTGTCTCGCTGTCTTGTAGTAAACGTGCCTGTGCAACCAGACAGTTAGAGCTGTCTCGCTGTCTTGTAGTAAACGTGCCTGTGCAACCAGACAGTTAGAGCTGTCTCGCTGTCTTGTAGTAAACGTGCCTGTGCAACCAGACAGTTAGAGCTGTGGGTTTTCAGTTTATACATTGTTTTGCAGAAAGCAACATTGTGCTTTTTTTTTCCCTTTTCTAACGCAACTTTATATTTTTGCAGGAAAATTATTAAGATATATAATTTCAACATTCAACTTTGACATAAGTAAAATCTGGGTCTATAACCATGATAAATAACATGCTGCCAAAAGGAGGAAGGGGGATGCTATCAGAGGTGGCTGGAGGCTTGCTTGCTGTCCCAAATATCTTGGGTTTTTCTTCATCTTAGCCTTCTCCAGCAAAAAGTTCTTGTTTGGTCGTCCATTTCTAGACTTTAGTCTTTTTCCAGAACATGAATTTTGCATGCACACCCATTTTACAGACAGCTTATCTGTATGCAGACTGTTGGTTCCTCATATCTCAGGCAAGTGAACTCTAAGTACTTAGTACAAATTCAAAGGAAACTCCTCTAATTAGCTGCCGTGTACGACATGCTTGTTAGGCAAGCAGTGAGTCCATTCTTGTTTCTCCCAAAATAGTGCCCCGGAACTCACACATAGATGTTTGGCTCAAATCTGCAACAATGCAGATTTGTGTGTGTGACTGACTTGGACTCCTAAGCCGACAGCCTAAACTAGTACTAGAAGTTCCCCTGGAAGCAAAAATTAGAGAGTGTGATGCTGACTAACATCAACTACTTAGTGTTGACTGGTATATAACAATTGGAAACTAGGCGCATACACCTGGTGAGCAGTGGCCATCCAGACAGTTAAGGGGAGGGAACAAGCTAGAAAATCAAAAATTATGCAAGTTTTTCCTGATGGTTTAATATATCTTAATATGGTCAGATCTTTATGAAATTTTGCAAGGACCTTCCTTATCTATCATACAAACAATAAATCATAGAGAAATAAAGTTAGGTATGTTTATTTCATACTTATTTCTATTTGATGAAGGTATATATATAAGTGATGAGAACATTTGTTCGAGTAGCGTTTTCAGTCCTGCTAAAAAACTGTTCAATGTATGCAGCTGAAAGTTTGTGTAGCTGCTCAGATATGGTTGAGCTATAATCTGAACCTCTGTCATCTTTGTATCTGTGTTAGGTTTTCTTATATTGATGTCCAAAATGTTTCTAAAGTTTCAAAAAATCATAACTCAAGTTAAATGCTGACCTCAAGTGTTGGGCCCTTAAAAATGGCATGTTTCAAACAACATCTATTGAAGAGCATGTCCTCCAAATTTCTTTGAATTTGGCCCAATAGTTTTGAAATTATCCTGATAACAGTAACACACATGTGCGAAAACATGATTTTGAGAAAACGGCCTTCAAAGTTTTAACATACTGAAAATGTCAGTCAGTCCATCCTATCGGGCACATAAGCTATTTATATAATTTGTGTGATGTCCTAAGATGTGAACTATGAAGTACAATTAACCTAGACTACTCATGGGCACCAGCAAGGTAAAAATCCTCTTTGTCTTTTTCATGCATGACAGCCACTATTCTCCTCGCTTGCCGTACACTCGGTGATAATTTTGTAGCTGCTGAGTTTATTCTTGTTCGATCCAGCTCACTGAAACAAAGTCTGGTATAGAGTCCACTAGGCATCCCTAGATTCTCAAATATAGGTATCCTACCCCTCTCACCATCATTAAAAACCACAGTGGCATCATAAACTGCAAGAGTTAGTCTTGGCCTTCCAACAAATCCAGTCTTTGGGCATCTCTGCCAAATGGAATTATGAAAACTCTCATTTGTATTTTGTGTCCCTCCATGTGCACACTTTGACAGTAAGGTCTCACTGGTGAGTGTTTCAAAGACAGGTCTGATGGCCTCACACACATAGGGAGGGAAAGCATTTCTGTCAGGATCTGCTGCAGGCTGATTCTTGGAAGGGCACCAATCTCCACAGTTGATATGGTCACGGTTTCTGTGCTGCCATATGGCCCAGATTTCTTTTCGCATCTGAGGCACATTGTTGGTGTTTCTTCGAATAGCAGCACCGTAGTGTCCTTGAATCTTTAGGATTGACTTTTTCGTGAGACAACCCCTCCCACCAATTCCTCGAACACTCTTGCCATTGTGCATAAATGTCTCCTTTTTTAGTTCATTGACTTTATTTGTAAGGTGTCGCCCCATTCTCTTCTGCACATGCCCACAACATTCTAGTTTTGCAATATCAACATCAGTATACACAGGTGGTTCTGCATTTGCAACTGATGTGTATGATTTACTGTCTCCATCTCCAAGAAAAGAAGCATAGCGCAGACCATACAACTGCTCACTTCGCCTGAACATTTCCAGTGCTCCAGTTGGTTCCATGCTACCTGCAGATCCACTGTGATTCTTATCACAATTCTGAGCATGAGAAAGCTTCCATGCCTGGAACTCTGCCTCAGTTTTAGTCTTCTTATTTTTTGCACAAGGGTTGCAATAATTACTGAGAACTGCAGTGTCAAGAACTTTTGAATTAGGCCCATCCACGGTGAGAAGAGTGACCACACCGTTTTTGCTCTGGAACCCCCTTCTCTGCCATGTGCCATCACAGGAGACTGTTATGGCTTCTCCTTTCTTTTGCTTGATCTCAGCTGCAACTCTCTGCATACTTGTGCGTGCAACAGTCTCTGTGGCATGAAGAATTTTCTTCTTGTGAAGAGACCAACTGCTCTTATGCATACCTGTTGGCATGTTCATATTGCCAAGAAATTTCTTGCCATGCATATAGTTCCTTCCTATAGCAAAAAGAGCAAGTGTATACCTTCTGTTGACTTCATAGGTCTTCCCACATTTTGCAGACGACATAAATGAAACTTTTTGTTGACACTGACAGTGGAAAGTGAACGTCGAGGCAAGCGAGCTTCTTTCTTCAGTTACAAAGGACTTGTTCTCTCCCAGAGGTTGCCCACACTGACTGCACAATAAAGTTTTAACAAAGTTAATAAGAAGCTGAACGTCAACAAATCGAAAACCAGTCAGCTCTTCCGCTGTATCAAACTCAGTCTGCGAGGTTTGAGGTCCTAGTTTGATTTTAGAAGCAGACGTAGATGGTCGGTTTTTATCATCCAAACCACTAATTTCATCACTTCCAGCTTCTTGTTCATGTTTATCAGAGTACTGATTGCCGTGAAAAGAACGTTTTCTTGGTCTGTAGCCTCTGTTTATCTTTCTTTTGCCCATAATTATTCGGTTTGTTGTCTCAACCGTAAAAATGACTTCCGCGCATAACAACAAACATGGCGGTTAGCGTCACTGTGCGAGAGGCGTTTTGTATGAAACGAGTGCTCTGATTGGTTGGATAAAGCATTTCCTCAAGAAACGGACCAATGAAAATTTGTCTTATGTGCTGTAAGCCATGAAAATTAGATGTATAGGTCTCGTAAAACGGAACAATTTACAACTTAGATGAAGTCTTTAAGTCAACTACAAGTCGAGATACAATTTTTCAAAGTTTTTGCATATGTAATGAGCTGTAAAACATAGATAAATAAGTTAGATATGCTTCAGCAAATGCAGAAATAGAGCTTTAAAACACATTCCTTTTTCAACCCCGTTTGCACAGCTGTTTTCTAATGTGGATAATTGTGAATTGTGTATGGAAACCCAAAATGGTCAAAATTTACGATTTTCATCTTAGACCCTCCCCTTAAGAAATTCTGGGCTCTCATATGGCAGACCTGAGTTACAATCATCCATATGGTTTTCGATATTATTCTGTCGTGGGGCAAAAATAAACTCCTAACCCACACAACCCTTTATCCTCGGCTCAAAGACCCCTCTGCCTACTCCGCAGAAGCGGTAAATAATCAGTAATGGCAGTTTATGCTCCACATGCCTCAGCTGTGACTAGGATCCCTTTTACAATGTTCAACCAGGAATATACGTTACAAAAGAACAACACAACAGAGAAACAGGATTTGCCAACAAACATACAACCTAACATTCAACACCTCTTACCTCTCCTCTCACAACATACTGGGGAAGGGGAATATCTGGAGGTATTTCTTTCACATTTTGATCATCTACAACAAGATGAGTCAGGTCCGCAGCTCCTTGTTCTGCAACTGAGCCGCCTGGATAAAACAAACACACAGTAGTGTCTAGAACAACACATTTCGAGGAACAGTTTACATAGAATGCACTCATTTGTTTGTACCAGCAACTTAAATTGTGTTTAAATGGCCACAGAAACCATCTCTGATTTGGAACCCTGCCAGAAATTATGTACCAGGTGCAGTCGGTTTTAAAAAAAAAAAAAAAAAGTCTCAGTCTGTATTTAAGCAAAATATCTGTACACATTTATCAGCAATACAGTCAAATTAGAAGAACAACACAGAACAAGCTAATAAATTGATCTATGTGGGCCAAGCTATAATGGAAGTTAACAGATCAGATCATGAAGATACAGAATAAAATATCAGAATTTAAAACATACATACATGTATAAAACAAAATCTATAGAAAAGAATTCTGCTTAGGTTAACATAGCACTACATGGTTTTGAGTATGGACAATTAGTAAAAACAGTGGAGGAAAAGTGAAGTATTTGAAATGTGGTATTGAAAAATAACAAGAACTAGCTGTCTTTAAACAATTAGTGTGTGAAAAAAGCATTGAAAAATATCAGAACAAAAAAAATATCTTAATATTTTTCAAAAAGTCTTGCATGTCTTGATCACATCCTAAAACATGAAGAAACATTGAAGACGGCAAGAATCTTTTTCTCTTTTTTCTACCAAGAATACCACTGTATACCAAGAATAAGATTTATAAAACGGCGATCCACAGATCAATCAATGAGGACACATAACACCAATGACAGTGGCAAAAGACATACTTCCATAAAAACATCTAAACTTCACAACACAACTGCCTAAGGACTGAAGAAATTACAATGAAGTGTATGAACAGGAGCTTAGGACTTCAGTAGCCAGCACTCTTCACTGTTGAACCAGTGTTCACTTGTTCAAACCCTATTAGACAGCACAACTGAGATTTGAGAACTCAGGGTTATGGTCCAAGAGAATAACTGCTGTAGGAAAAACCAGGAAAAAATTATGGGAAGTAAACTGGCTACCAATCACTTTCTGACATGCAATGAGTGTCTACTGGTCTATAAAAATACAGGCCTATGCTCACAAAATAGAAAATGGCTCTTTTAGGACAAAGCACTGCCTGTTTATTGCCAGAATGATCTTATGTTCCCAGCAGAGGTAATGTTAAAAATGTTAAGAGTGGTGCTGAACTATTTCTTTACCTCTGTTACAATTCTTAAACCCGTTAACAGTAAACAACAAAATATGTAACAAATAGAGATTTGATACCAACCATTTTCTATTGTCAATTCCTCCATGTGTTTCTGTTCCTCTTTAGCGAAACCCAGAAAACATAAACAACACTCATAGAATGGCTTCATTCTGTAACCTGCCTGTAAAGAGAAGTTAATCAAAGCCATGATGTAATCAATACAGCAGTGACAACGCAGATCTATCTATACATCAAATAAAAAGTCATGGTTCCTGCAAGAAATGAGATAATATGATGCTTTGAATACACTAGCAACGTCATTCACAACTATTCGTGAGTGAAACCATAACTCTCATAACTTGGGTGAAGTACTTTCAAGTGTTCACATCCTTATCTGTATAAGTACATGACGACTTACACAGCGGTTATTTCAGCCGGTGAGATAAAAATCTGCCAAAATAGATAATTAAGTCTATGCTAACAGTGGTTAAAAAGTTCCGTAAATAGTTTTTCGCTCCTCTGTAGTTTTTCCTCATCCCCAAACAAGGCGATAGGTAACATTTTACTTAAAAGAAACCAGTGTGCTTTCACGCTTTAAAAATAATAATTAAAAACAGCACTACCATGTAATCTGACTACAATGAGCAGTGCCAAAATCAGAAAATGAAACACTCAAGGGGAAAGCGGAATCACTTCCCTCCCCATACGACAAAATGATGTATCAAAGTGGTCTGTGTCTACACATTCTTTATCTGTTCTATAAAACCTCACCCCTTCTTTTACAAACTCACAAACCCGTCAGTCACTTTCCTGTTTCTGTGGCCTCTCAGTGGAGTTTAGGAAAGAAATTGTACTTTTTAGACAAGAAAGTCTTTAATCCTATCACCCGTACCTTTCATGTAATAATAACATATATCCCCTTTTTAGGGATTTTTACTATTCAATATTTTATTAACATTTCGTAATTATACTATACTTCCCTTAATTCTCATAATAAACTCCAAGGGGAAAAAAAAAAAAAGTTATTGATTAAAAAGTATGCTAACTGGGGACTGATACATACATATTAACACTAATATATCCATGCTGGGTCAAAATTTTTCTAGTGTTAATTAGATGTTTGTGTTAATGAGGTTTCATTGTTCTATATCATTCATAAATGTACAACACCGAATCTAACAAACACTTTGACATGACATCTGCAGCAGTGAACCTCAAGGTTTCAGAATACTGAAGAAGAACATTTAAGACATTAAAAATCTGCCTTTACAGCTGCATGATTCTTCTATTTCTAAGCACCCTGTCAACTGGTGATTTATCCTTCTTCTAAAAGGGCGGTTGGCACACTGTGTTGTAGTTTACAGCTAAGCTGCAATTCCTGAGCCTTTCAGATCACATTTTATTTAGGCAAATACCTAATTAGATGCCATTTACGACTGACACTTGTTCTATATTTATTTCACCAATGATCATCTCTGCTATTCAAGTCTCTTTATTCTCTTGCATACTGCCAAAGATATTGTCCATTTCTATCAGACATCTATCATTGCTGCATCTGTCCTTAATTCACTCTAGAGAAGTGAAATGATTATTTGGTACTCTAGCAGCACATTAGCTATTTTAAGTAACAGACTTTTTAAGCTAAAACTGCCCACTTTTACTTCTCATGACTTTATGTGATACCAAATTCAAGCAGGTTTGAGCTAGAAGTCAAGGCCCCCCCCCCCCCCTCACTTTTTTTACATGCAGATTTGAACCCAAGACCTTTGGTACAGCAGGTAAGCACCTAGTTTCTATGCAATTGTGCTCCCTGGGAATTAATTACTGAAACAAAACAAGCTCTTAGTAATGAAAACCAACGTTATCATTAAGTGCCTTGCCAACATATGTGTGGTCATGTTTCTCTAGATCTTACTATCCCCAAAAGCAATGATTGTGTGCTGATACCTTTCTATTCCAAACCAAAACGTTCTCAAAAATATTCACTCAGTATCTTCCTCTCATTCTATAGATCTTCATGTCACATGCTGTAGTTGTTTTTTCTCATAGTGTCGCCAGAAAATAACAAATGCCTCTTCTTGATGTTTGTGATAATTATTTCTATCTTTAGCTCTTAATCTCATTTAAAACATTTAGATTACCCAGGCTGGTTGTTGCAGAAATGTTCAGTATTTTTCAGTTGAGCCACATCTTTGAGGCATTAATTTGTGCCTGCTACAAATTGTCAAAATATGATATTCTACGCTAAAGCAATAATTCCTGGAGGCTTTGAAGATTTCAACACTCAGAATACAACAGAACTTTAAACCCAAAAAAAAAAGGCAATTACCATCTTGAGCTGACTAGCATGGCAGTCTGGATCATCTCTGTCAGACCACATCCGGCTGATCCAGTCTTCGCACATAATGGGCTTGCCCATGTTGACTGCATACTGAAACAGAATTCTTCAGTGAATAACTGCTTCTACTGATTATGTATATACTACACATTCAAACAACAGTAGCTAGAAATAGCCTAATTAACTTTTGTTCCATTTCTGATTCACTAGTTATGGCAGGCTAACTTCAATGACTTTGGTCGCATTTTTTTTTTACAATTTCTAGGGTTAATTAAAACCTTGAGAGCACAAGCTGCTGTTCAAGGGCATTTCCAGGTTTCAAAGATGAACCCTATGTACTGTATGTTGCGATTTGGCAGTAGACTTTTGCGTTGATTTCAGAATGAATATGAGCATTAAACCCTTACACTTTACAAAAACGAACACATTGAAAAAGTGATATTTTTGTCATAAATTGGGAAAAATGCTGTGTAGTGATCCCTAAACAATGGTAAAACTACTGAATGTAAAACTGCCTATTAAAATAGCAAACAGCCAACTAACGCTGGGACAGTGTGCAATGTCCTGTGAAGGATATCAGCATTCCGAGCCCTTGAGGTTAATGTCGCAGATATCACCCGCTTCTATTCATCTCTCTGGTTGGCCTTCTCTTTCCAGTTGGTACTAAATACATCTGACACGCATGCTATAAAAAATAAACCTCTTTTAACAGTACATAGCACATGGCATTGGTAGTCATGTCTATGCACAACTTTCCGTCCGTGTCCTTTCAATCAATTCTGACACAGAAAATCTTCCATGCCTTTATGTCAAACTGTCCATCATCTTCTCTGTCTCTTTTCGCTCAAACTTTCATATCATCATGATGCACTCCAATGTTCTCCTTCTCATGGCACTACCAAAGAATGTAGATTGTCCCCTTCTGATGTAGGCAGTCAGTTCTCTCAGTAAGTGAATTTCCTTAAAGACATCTTCATTATTCTTTTTACCTGTCCAAGGTTTTCTCATTTTGTGTGCATAAAACATCATCTCTGCCATTTCCATATAAATGTAAATACAGACTAGTTTGTGTAAAAATGAAAAATTAGAAGGGTTGAATGTAAGATTTGCTATAGCCACTATATATCCAGAAAAATATCTGAAGAGAATGGCGGTGGTAAAATCTGATCTTTGCAAGAAGGTGCACACAAAAAAAGATTTGGAAACCCACTGATAAACACTCACCCTGTATTTAGTTCCATGTGTGACATTGGCCACCACATGGGTGAGTCTGATACTTTCATCTCTACGGACACTGCCACCCATGTAATGGACACGATCAACTAACCACACCTGGGAAATATATAAGTATGTTCACCTTTTATCTAGTTAAAAGGGTCACTTGGTTAAATTATGCTAAACAAACATTAAAAATCAAATGTCTTTAGTATGTAGTGGTGAAACAAAATATAAATCTATTTTCTCTAGCGCTAAGAAGGCAAACAAACAACATACATTTATTATCTATAGCCCCAAATTGTCAAACAGTACAGATTTGGTGCCCGTAGTATCAGATAGTGAAATGAACAATGCAAATCTATTTTTTACTTTTTTTTAACTTGCTCTATTGCCTCTAGCACCACATGATTTAAAAAAAAACACATAAATCTACTGTCCATTGGTAACCAGACAAAATACATCATTATCATATGGTAATTTCTTTGCAGAATGTCACTCTCATCGCAGACCACAAGAAAGGTCTTCATTCTTTGCCAGTTTTCTGCTTCAAGCATTTTCATGACCATGGTATCTTCAACCCTGTTACTCCAAGAAAGCTGGTCAGTGACAATCACATGACATCTCTACGCAGTGGCCTATATGCCCAAGTAACAGCCGTGGTTCTATCTGCAATTGTATAGTGTGCAGACGTGATGGGCATGATAATATTCACACAAATATTTTTTTTGATACTATTTGGGGCAAAAATGTTTTGTTGGGTAATTGTGACATCATAATAAACTGTTGCTTGTATCAATAAATGCCGCTTTTTTTTTTGGGGGGGGGGGGGGGGGGGGGGGGGGGGCCAAAGGAAAGGAAAGCAGTTACTTCTTTGCTCTAATTGTATTAAGTGATCACTTTTCTTCATTAAAAAAAATACATCCATCTTTGCGCAACATAATGACAAATTCATTTTTCAGTGACTCGCAAGCCACAGTGATGTAACAGCTAGAAGGCTTGCCTATCTGAAAGATGTTTACTTCAGGTCCATCACTGTTCATAAACAGCAGCCTTTTCTTTTCTTACTGCACTTTTTAATACTGTCAAAAGTATTTCAGTTTATGAGACACAATGTTGCATGCTCTCTAGTTTTATTTTGTGTTTGAATCTTGTGAAATGTTAGTATTTTCTTCTTGTTAATTCCCTTTTATAACTGTTCTAAAATTTAAGTTCAGAAACCTGAAAACTCATAATAAAAAGAAAGTTTAACTGATTGTCTATTATTTTCAAGTAAAGTTTCACTTACCAATTTTGCTTTGTTCCTAAATCCAGTAAAACATATAACCAGATCTTGCATAGACATACAGAAAAGTGGTCGGATGTTCATTGGCAGCATCTGCAGGATGACGATAAACATAATAGCTAGACAAAACTTTAGCATAGAATCATTTACAGTTTATTCAAATTCATGAAAATAAATAGAAGCCATGGTGGAGTAGCTGCTGGTTCTTCCTCGTGCTGATACAATGGTCACCGGTTCCAACCTGGGTCGAGTAGCATTTACTTTTAAATAGCAAAAATGACTCCCTGGTCAAGCCATCTTAAAAAGGGTAGCAGGTAAAGTCCTTGGAAGAAAGGCGGCCTGCATGATATTGATCACATCAACCATCAAGGGCCAACCTGTCTTTAAAAAAAATATGAGGCTAGCATCATATGTCTGATGTGCCATTGGCATGAAAAGGGTGCTTTACTTGCATGAAAAACTTCTTTTGGTAAACAAGAAACAATAAATGGACAGGTACTGATTAGCACTCACAGAAGTCACACAAAAGAAAAAAGAAGCTATAAGAAGATACAACAGACAGCTATTCTATACAAATCTGAACCAATTCCCTTCTATTACAAGCACATCATAGAAGGAAAAATTCCACCAGCTAGACAACCCAGAATGATGTATACAACTTTAGTTAGCTAAACTGATGGTTAAACTTCTAACAATACTAATTAATGAACCACCAATGCAATCATTTTTTTTTAAATAAAATTTCCGATTTAAGCTAGTGATTTATGTTTAACCTTGGTCAATATCTTATTTGTTCAGATAAAGTTTTCTTGAAGCTACTATTTAAAAAAAAAATATCTGACTTTAAAACTTAAATAAGATGAGAGGAAGATAGCATGTCTTTTCAAATAATAATGATACAATACTGCTAAATATTTCACATTAAAAATAGCCTATGCAACCCTTAGTACATGCCATTTCTTTTGCAAAACAGGTAATACTGTGAAACAACACTACTGTCTAACAGAAAATACTCACAATGCCATCTTGCACACATTTCTTCAGCACTGGAGGACCAATGATTCTAACTTGTGCCCGATGCAGTTTTGGAGAAGAGTTCTCCTTCAAAATTGGCAACAACGAAAGACATCTCACATTCGCATGCATCTTTAACATAATCCAAGCCTGTCTGTGACTGGAGAACATCTGATACACCTTTGATTTTCTGTGTTTAGAAGGAATGAGGAAAATATGATTTTAAGCAAAATATATTAGCATTGCTCATCTTATTCTGTCATTCTAGTTCCAATGGTGCATAGGCACTCAACCAACTCATGCCAAGTCATTCTATCTTTTGCTATCGCATGCAGCTCTCCCCATCCTTCTAACTTCATTCTCCAGCTCCCTTCTCCATGTGTTTTTTAGGTCTTCCTTTATTCCTAAGCCCCTGTGAGTTCCAGTGCAAAGACATTCTGGTTATATTGTTCCCCGGTTTTCTCAATGTGTGTCCTATCCAACGCCAGTGTTTTTTCTTCACCTCTTGGACGACTTGAGCTTGCTTAGTTCTCTCCCAAAGCTCTACATTAGTGATTCTATCATACCATTTAATTCCCTCTATTCTGCGCAGGCACCAGTTAATAAATGTCTGTAGTTTATTAGTAACTGCCTTAGTTGTTTCTTCATGTTTCCACTCCATACTACAGTACTGATTTGACATTAGAATTAAAAACTTTAAGTTTAGTATTTCTTTTGACCTTATCCTTAGCTTAAACTCTAATCTTACAGTGTTCTTTCATAACTTTAACTAGAATTCAAATCTGAGTCTCAATAATGAGAGCCCAGCGTTCTTAACTGCTGAGCCAGTCGCTCTCTCTCAGTCACAGTATCAATTTATACTTTATGTCAGTCAGAGCCAGTATCTATCACAGTATCTATCAGGCCATATTCAAAGTTCACAATAAAGGGTGCTAAGAAGTGAAAGGATTGCCTTTAGCAATACTTCTTTTTCTTCTGTGTTCTACATCAGTCATGCTAAACATTGAGTCCCGTCGGGGTCACAAATAGGATTGTGCGTTTAAGGTCGCCACCGGTCCCCCATATCTTCTCTTTCAATGTGGCTCCCTTGGGCCAGATCCAGAGTCTTTGCTGGGAGAGGTAAGGGCAGTACTATAGTATGTGCACCAGGGTCTGTCTTTCTGCTCCACAATCACACCAGCAGAATCTTTTATGCCTATCCTGTACAGGTGTGCTCGAAGACCACAGTGCAGTCCGAAGTCTAAAAATTGTTGTTTGTCTCTTTTCTGTTGTAGTTTGTCATGTTGTCACTGCCTTCTCCACTCCCGCTTAAAGACATGCTTTAGCGCTGTTTTGGTTTCCTTGTCAGTTAGTGGATGAGGTTGTGGAAGATTACTCCCAGCTTTTGCCAACTCATCTGCTCTCTCATTTCCTTGAATACCATGGGCTGGCAACCACTGCAGGACCAGTTCTGCTTCAGTGGAGAGTAAGCTAGTGTCACTTAGATCTGCAATTAGTTTGTCTTGTTTTTTTTGCTTGATAGCTTGGAGAACAGACAATTAGTCCTAAGTACAATTGTATGCCCTTGTGTTTTTGATTGGACTGCATAAAAATAGGGCAGATGCCAGCTCTGAAGTTATCTGGTAGAGAGTCTCTCTGCTGGTAGAGACTAATTTTCACGACCCGCTCTTCTGTAAAATACCCTTTGCTCTGACTGCATCTGAGAAAAGACAAAAGCATAACATCAGCCAGGGTGGATCTCTGTTGAGGTATTAAAATCCCTGGTACCTTTAGGAATACATTTGCCTTCTCTGGCTTGCTTGTCCATGGTTCTGGCTTCGGCAGTGCTACATCCCTTTTAAGCAGATCTTGGTGCTGTCCATGTCAGTTCCTCTAGCAAGGTGGTTGGGGCTTATTTGTTTTTTGTTCTCTCTTGAAATTTAAAATGCAGTTCACTTTCATTTTTAAATTTCTCATACTAAAAAGATGTTTTGTATTGTCTTCTGATTTCTAGTGGTTTCAGTATCTAGGAATTTCTCTGACAAAGGATGAGTTGGTCTGAAAGATGCAGACCTCATAGCCTACCTGTCTGTAAACCCCAATACAAGATGCCAATCACTCTTTTGAGGGTATATAAAGGACAGTTAGCTTCCAATATCCTGTAGCTATCTTTTCATCACTGCAACATATGCTTTCCCCTGTCAACTCTACGTGTTGTTCACCATGTCGTTTGGTGCCAAAAGTCCCTCTATTTCTGTACCTCCAGAGATGACTCCTGGTTCTCAGAGACAGAACCTATGCCCACTTGAAAAGAGTCATCACCAAATCAAAATATCTCCTTTACATCTTGATTTATCCTTTACCTAATCTGATAGTGGCAATAACAGCATCAGTAAGTCTTCCTAATGTCATTAGCTTCTTGAACAAAGCTAGAGCTATTGCAGGATGAGGCAAATCTAGTCCAACAATGAAATTGCCAAGAGCATAATTTTGATAATTTGTGTTTTTATGTTCCCTTTTTTCGGTTTTCACTTGTTCCCCACTTCTATACATATTTTTTTCTGACTTCTTCAAAAGGGAAAGTCACAAAACCAAGAAACTTTGTGGGGGGGGGGGGGGGAAATGTCTTGGCCAGTTATGAGAATGAATCCTGATGTAGTTTACAGCTCTCGGCTTACAGATATCTGCTCCTCTCTGCCCAACACATCTGACAAATTTGGAAGCCAGTGCAGCATCTTTGAGTCGCCTTTGACTAAAGATTACTCATTACAGGGGCAGTTGGACAATCCCAGGTGGTTGGTATGTCCACAAAAATGTAACCTCTCACTTCATCCCATAA